TTCCTTCCTACTAAAGCAAAAACTATACGCCTTATCCCACTGTATTAACCCCCACCCACGCCCTCCAAGTTTCCTGTCCCCATCTCAACTGTTGCCTTTTTGCACCATCTGCTGTGTAACTTTTCTCTGTGTAAGATACATTTTCCAAGTCCCTCTTTGAAGCCAAAGAGAAGATCGGAGTAGGAGGAAGGAGATACCATTAGTGGTTTCCTATATTATGACTTTCCCAGTTATCTTACCTTCTTAGTTCTATGAAAATATGGATTAGTAGGGAAAAAAATGCTTCTTAGCAATTGTAAATATAGTCCCTGAAACACTATTTTAAGCTGCTAACAAGCATGAAAATATGCATTAAACCACACGCTTAGTACCTCAAAGAAGTCAGGGAAGTTCTCTTTAAAAACTAAAATGAACCAGGTAATCTGGTAAGAACTAAAACCTACCTTCTTTGCCTGGGTGGTTTCATGGGAATCTATGAGGGACTTAATTCAATGAGCATAGGCAATTCATATTCACGTATCCTAATTTAAGATGTCAGTAGACAGTGGGTGGTTAAAAGGAATGGGAATTGGTTTAGCCTAGAAAGTGGATGTACACTAGGCATACAATGGAATATACAGAAATCACATAAAATTAGAAAACCAGTCAGAAAATTAACTGAACACCAGACGCTTTGCCAAACGGGTCCAAGTCCTTTGAACAGGGGTAAAGGTGTAGATGGTTTATCTATGGGCAGTTAAAAGAAAACTACTGCACTATACCTCTGAGAAACGAGAATAAAACAACTCGTCCCCAGCCTTTCCACCTCCAGGTGCTGTTAGTCATGTCTAAGCTTAGAGTATTATTTTCTGTTTCAAGTTAACTTAACACTGCACATTAATCTCAGAATCTACGCTTCCAAGTACAAGGTGATGATATATAGAAAAACAACAACAAAAATCCTTTCCTGTTTGCAAGCTTGGGTTCTTTAGCTCATGGTGCCACATTTAAGGGGGCTTTGTTTCAGTGGATGACTAAAGTGGCGCCCTTGATACTGACTATGGCACTGAGCTATTTGTACTGCCCAAGTCTGGGCTGCATTACATTAAAACTTCCATTTCGGGGTGTGTAGTGACTAAAAATTCTCTCCTGGCTTAAACTTAGCACCAACCATGTATCTCAGCAGAAGCAACATTATCGAGCACTGAACCACAAAACCCCAGCATTTTTCTTCTTTTATACTTGCACAGGAAAAGAGACCCAACCATACCACCTATGGTGCCTCCATTCTTACACGGAAACTTCAAGCTTCCACGGCTCTCTCCCAAGGCACAGCCAGTGAGTGGGTTGCTATGACTGGATGACATTAAACCAGATGTGACAGGTCATTGCCTTTTGCATCAATAGAGCCCAAGTTCTCTAGAAGTAGAATGAAAGAATGTCAGCTTCTTTTTAGGAACGGCAGAAAATGATGAAGACTTTTCTGTTCCAGAAAATAACACTTCCAACTGGTTTCTCTAGAGTGCCTCCATTTCCAACAGTTCACCAGCTGAAATGGACTTTACTCCATGTCTCTGACTTGGTGACCATTAGAAGTTCAGTTCTCTAAAAGCCACTAAGCGTAAACACACTCAAAAGTTGATAGGTCCACGGGTCGAGAGTTGGAGGGAAACCTCGGCAAAAAAAGTGAGGATGAGGCGCTCTTTGTCAGAAAATAAGCACAAGCTCAGGCTAGGGCCGTGCAACGCCGCCATGTCCATGTAGGCCTGTCACGCTGGCCCCTACTGTACCCAGTGCTAGGATCGGCCTGTCATACAGATTTAAAAACCCATATGAACTAGGTACAAGTAATTACATTTCACTCTAGAAAACTTTTACCATTTTCTTCAAATACAAAGGGGCAGTTGTACATGTGGTCTTACACTTAAAAGGCAATATTCCTGCATACTCATGCTACTGAGCATCTACTATTTGCCAGGCACCGTGCTAAGTGTTTTATGTGCATTATCATATTTAAACCTTAAAAAAAAAAAAACCCTTCAAGTTAGTATTGTTACTGTTCCTGCTTCATAGAAGAGGAAACTGTTTTGAGAGACTTACTGGCCTAAGATCATACAACTGGTAAATGAAAGGCAATCAGCTAAAAAGAGAGCACTCATATATGCTTTTTCTTGTTTAAAAAAAAAGGTAAAGTTGTTCCTGAGTAAGTTCTCAGATGTTCTTGAGACAGAACATGGAATAAAGTGGATCTGCAATTCTGGCCCCTGAACACAAGTTCTCAACCACTGCATGGACACAAAGTGTTTAAAAAGTCTCTTTGCTCTCGGGCAGTCACTCAGCTATCCCCAAGTTGTCAGTCCTGCTCAGGGAAAGAATTATCAATTACTTTCAAGTATTAAGTAGAAGTCTAATGTAGTTTTGAGGAGAACAAAGCAAATCAAACTTTATACTCAGGGCTCATGACTTTGGAATTACATATATTCTCATGGCAAGGAGGACCAAGTTTTGAAATAACTTGGAAGATGGTGACGGTAGTTTTCATACTTTAAAAACCTAAATACAATGAACTACATATAAGTTTGGCTAGACAGTTTTGCAGACCTGGCGCAACAAGCAGGCTAAGATTAAAAAAATAAAAAATCAATGTGGTGGTCTTACAAATTCCTATTATCAAAACTCCCATACATCTGAATCCAATCCAAGAAGTATGTCAATAGCTGGTTGTTTAAGATTAGGCTTATGATATAGTAACAGAATTGTGTAGAAGGAAAATATGCTTAAAATTATGTCCAAGCATGTTTAGGTCAAGTCAGTAATAATATTTAATACTAATATAAGCATGGACTATTCTTGTGACTGAGAACCCCGAAGATGCATACTATATGTGTTAAATGGGTACTTGTACTGTTTCCCCCCTGCTGGCAGGCCCTAGTCACTAAAAAACCCCAAAACCAGAAAACCAATCACCTTCTTTGAGAATGTATCACACATCCTTAGCAAGTATCTCTGGGGCTGTAAGGCATTTAAGATACGACAAGGGAAGAAATTGGAAAGAGTAAGGAAATAAAATTTTTCTTTATTCCAAAATCCATCTCATTCTCAAAGTAATTCTTATGCACTGACTTTCTTAAAGATTCTTCCAAATATTGACCCTTCAAAAAACAAACCCATTTGGAGCTGAGACCAGGTGAGGTCAACGACTGGTGTTGTCAATGAACCATTTATCTAACTGAGTCTGGTTCATTTCTAGCCTCGTGGTGGCCAAGCCTGACCACGAGGGTGAAGACAGGAGGCATGGAGGAACGGAATGAAGGAGAGAAAAGGAGAAGGGGGTGGGGGGTGAGACGGACCGCCGGGCCACAATTCTAGTACCAACAAAAAGAGAAGCCGCATACTGACCTAAATCATCTCTCAAAGGCGCTTTATAAATTACAGGGACAAAGGAGGGGGTGGCGGGTGGCCTGGGAATCCTACGGACACCCAACCCTCTGACCCGCCCCCTCCCCCTCCAGCACAAGGGAAGGAAGACAGAAAACAGAGCTCAACTCGGCCATTGGCGAGAAGCCCCCTTCGGTTTTCAATTGCCCATCCACAGGCCCCCTAGAAAAAAAATACACGTAAACAGCAAACCAACCCCCTGGGGCAAACACTCGAGCTCAGAGGTCCCCAGAACCGGAGGCCGGGCATTTACTTAGTTAGATTTTTCTTGCTTACTCATTTCCCTCATGCACCCAACCCCCCGTTCCCACTCCAAAATCCCGCTCAACCGCCTACCCTCTCGGTTCCAGCCCCCAACAGAATTCGGTGCCCCAGTGGCGGCAGCAGCCCCCGCGCGATCCCGGTCACTAACCTGCTGCTGTAAGGGCATTTCCGAAACCAGCCTGGCTCCGGGGAAGGTGGGGGGCCGGCTGGAGAGGGGCCCGGAGGGCCGAGCAGACCAGCGGCGCCGGCAGAGAGCGGGCGTCCGGGGGGGGGGGGGCGGGTAGGAAGAGGAGAGGGAGGGTGGCCGTGCGGGTGCGAGGGCGCCGGGACTGTCCCAAGCCAGGGAGCCGGCGAGCAGGAGGAAGTGGGTGCCCCCTCTCCCCTCCAGCGCCCCCTCCCGCCGCTGCCTCCTCCCCAGTCACAGGCGCGTCCTCCGCGCACGTGTGCGAAACGTCACCGGCGGGTCCTGGGGAGAGGGACAGACCGGGGCTGCGGGACGGGAACGCGGCTGCACCCGCCCTTCGTCGCCTAGGGGCGGGGAGGGGGACAGGGCGGGGAAGGAAGGGGTAAGGGGAGAGGCGGGTCAAGGGCAGGCCCCGGGCCGGGAGAGGAAGGCCCGGGCGCTCGGGCCACGCGGGCGCCGCCACCGCCAGGATGCGCCCAGGCCGGAGCGCCCTCTCGCTAGCCCCTCACCCCAAGACACCCCACACCCTACCTAGCCTGCACCCGCCTGCCAGTTCCACCGCTTCCCCCAACATGTCCCTCTCCGTTGTCCCCAGCTCTTTTGTTGCCCGGAGTTACAGATCCCAAAATGTGACAAGCGCAACCCGGCAGAACCTCTGCGCTCCCAGCACGCCGTAGAGACCCCGGGCCGCCAACGTGCCTGCGAGGCCGGCGACCAGCCCAATTGTCCCCCGGTTTCCACCCCCCAGAGTCCCCCACTCCCCAGTCCACTACTCCCTCCTCCACCCCCTTCTCCATCCGGGGCGTGACCCCATCCTACGCCCGAGAAAGAGGAAGCTTCGAGTTGGAGGGGAGGGGACAGTGGGGGTAGGGAAAAGTGTAGGAAAAGAAGTGGGGGTCATAGAAAGTTTTGGTGTCTGATGTGGTTCGCGCTAAGGAGATCCCCACGACCCCGCGCTCCTTGCGGAGCCCCCCGAACCCACCGGCGCTGAGGGGAGCGCACAAGTCTAACAATAAACCCTCGCTGGAGGGGCAACCCAGAGGCCCATTGCGCTCGGCCTGCGCTCTCCCGAGACAGCCCGTAGCGCGCCCACCCCCCGCCTGGGCTGGAGACGGTGGGAACAGGAGGGGATTACCGGAGGGCCGCCACCGCCGCTGCCGCCGTGTCCTAGCGCTGGTGCCTGCTGCAGCAGCCCGGCTCTGCTGGAGGGTCCGTGCGGCGTGGTGTAGAGGAGGCTGCCGGCAGTCTGCTCCGCGCCGGGGGCACTGGGGAGGATGGGGCCGGCGGCGACGGCGCCGCTTTGGAGGGAGGAGGAACAGGAGGTGGTGGAAGTGTTCGTGGTGAGGATCTGGATGTACGCGCCTGGGGCGGCGGCAGCAGCAGCGGCGGCGGTGGCGGCGGGGAAGCCGGGGCTGGCTAGCAGTGCCCTTTTGTCCATGGAGGCTGCAGCAGCGGCGGCGACGATAGTCGCCCCCTCCCCACCCCCGGCGGTCACCAGGTACTGCTCCAGGGCGGGCTGGATCCCCCTTCTCATCTCTCGCTCCTGCTTTTTATTGCTACGATATATTAATGTATTTTTTCAATTTCTTTATTATTTGCAGTCGGAGTTTCCAAGTCTCTCCTCCTTCTCTCCTCCCCGCCCGGCGCTTCCGAGCCCCTTCTCTCTCTTTTCTTTTTATTTTTCGGTACCGCACCGGCCCCGGGGGCCAAAAATAATCGGGGCTCTGGAGAGAGGAGGGTCCCGGCCGCACGGATATCGGGCCCCGAGGGGGGATGGAAGCGTCGGGGGCGGCCGATGCAACGGATTGCGAGGCGGCGGCGGCAGCCCGGGTGCTACGGCCGGCAGCTGAAAAATGGCTCCAGGAAGCTGCTGCTGACAATGAATGAAGGGATACGGTTTACGCGCCAAGGTCCTCCCGCGAAACTCAGATTTCCCGCCGGCTTTTCAAACCATATTTGCATGTCCCCGCCCCTCAGCCCGCTGGGGACCGTTCCCACAGCCCATTGGGCCTCTATCTCCTTACTTCAGTTCCAATCGTAGGGCACGATCACGACTTGATGGTTTCTATTGGCTGCCGTGCATCATGGTTACCCGGGCGACGCGGGTTCTATTTGCATAGACTTGCTTGATTGGCTAGGGGAGAGCAGGGGTTTTTTAGAAGGTGGAGCAAAGCTTTCCTACTCTCCCACGGAAGACCACGCCTGGTACAGGGTCCGCCCCAGTCCCCGCCCTCCAGCCGGATGGGCGCTGCTGACCCGGGCAGGGACTCCGCGCCCCGCAGACTCAGTGTTGATCTAATCTGGAGCGCAAGTTTCGCTTTTGGAAATTGTCAAGGTGACTAAGGAGACATCTTCGGGAACTCTCTTTCTTTTGACCAGTCAGTGTAATAGAAGAACAACCGGAGCTTTTCCCAAATATGTGTCAAAGGCAAGTTGGACCATGCGGACGATGCCTGGCAGGTGGAAACTGAGCCCTTTAAAACAGGTTTCTCTCTTCCTGAATCCAACCAACGCCGGAGTGAGAGCTGATCCGGAGGCCGAGACTGATAGAAGCATGTGGGTAGACAGAATCGTGGTGGCAGAAGGTTGGACTGACCTTATAGCGGGCACCACTTGGTTAATATTCTAGGTCATTCCTGGTGGCTTGAGTATTTGCCTGGGTTGGATTTAAGTGAAAATTTCCTCAGCGTTTTGTTGAGTGAAATCTCACCACCGGTATTGGTATGAGTCTAGCAAACACCCGAGGCTGGCCCAGAAACCCCCAGGTAGTTAATCAGACTGGGGGTTTCTAATCCACCAAGCAGTAACCCGAAGTACACGTTTCCCACGATGACGTGTTGCTCCCAAGCAGCCCTGCTGCACGTCCGGGCACCAGCACTTACTTTTACAAGCTCGATTTCCTAGCAAGTACTCTGACTAAAAGCAAACCCGACCACCCAAACATTTCAAAATATTTTAAAAGATTTTTTTTTTTACTAAACTACAAACTGTCACCAGAAAAAAAAATTAAATTATTATCAAATGACTGTATTCGTGCAAGTATTCATGGGTCCTAAAAATTGAAGAATGCTCTGTGAGACGTAGAGGAAAAGGAACGCCTGCAGGAATGTGGGGCATGGTGTACATGTCAAGCAGTCTTATACGCTTCCACAATCACTGAGAATTGTACAAAGTAGCTGCTGCGCAGGTGTGTTCACTGTGTAATGAGGACTGCAATGCCTGAAGCCCTTTCCCAAAGACATTATTATTAATTTCCAAAACTAATGTACTTAGTCATTTTTAAATTATTTACCCACCATTACTTCCCCCCACCCCAGCCAAACCCACCTCCCTCAAAAACTAATATACTTAGTCTTATGAAAGACCTGAAAAGATGTGTCAGTTCAGACTCAAACGCCTTAGTTTTTCAGTCCTATTACCTTATCTGAAACAGAAGGAGCTAAGCATACTGTTAAATCTTGTATCAGCTGGAGTATTTGGGACTTGCATTCAAGCTAGTTGGGGATCCATGGCCTAGTACCCAACCATTTATTGACCCAAGTATTTATCATAGACACAACTGACATTAACTTAGGGACAGATTAGGTAGTATATCAATTCCTGATTCGGGTAGAGCCTAATGTATTATCAACTTCCTTAATGTTGTTCCATCAATTTTGTTTTCCACTGTAGGTCACTATGGAGAAAACTAGTAATGTAATTACTTTGGTATTACCACCTGCAAAATATTACTAGCAGTATGCTTTTGGTAGTGGTGGTGAGGGTTGTATGTGACAGGGCAGGGGGTGGTACAATGTACAGTCACTATAGACCTACATCTTCAGAGGAAAGACCAACGTAGGACTTGGGGCTGTATATAAGATCCCTGCTAGAGCTTCAACAAGTAACACACCCACAGCAGAACAAGTGTTCACATTCCATGTCCACACATGTGATTCTGGTTTAGAAAGGTTTGAGATATTTACCATTCTACCTTATCCAAGCTATATTCTTTAATGTAGGGTATTTTGCAGAGAAACAGATGTTTTGACCTTTTATGTCTAGTAAATCCCTGGATGAGAAGGTAGAGGGAAGGTTTCAAAGAGAGACGAGGTGTTGGAAGACAAGATGCTAACATTTGAGGTAGGCTATTAATATACAGAGGTAGCATGTTTTAGTAGAAAGATGGCTTTGGAGCCAGAGTGGTCTGGGTTTAAATTCTGACTATGCCATTTACTAGCTACATAACTTTAATCTTTAAAATCCTGTTTTTTCTGGCCCTGGCCAGGTAGCTCAGTTGATTGGAGTGCTGTCCTGATTCAACAAGGTTTCGGGTTTGATCCCTGCAACCAGTGAATGGGTAAATAAGTGAAACAGCAAATTCTCATTCTTTCTCTCTCTCTACACCTCTCCACCACCCCCCTCTCCAGTCTCCCTTCCCTTGTCCCTCTAAAAAAAATAAAAAGCCCTGACCGGTGCAGCTCAGTTTATTGGGTGTCATTCCATAAACCAAAAGGGGGCCAGTTTGATTCCTGGCCAGGGCACATTCCTGGGTTACACATTCAGTCCCTGGTTACAGTTGGGACATATACAAGAGGCAAGTGATTGAAGTTTCTCTCCCTTTCCCTTCTCCTCTTTGTAAAAAATAAATAAATAAAATCTTTTAAAGAAGTTAAAAAATCTTGGTTTTTTCATGTTAAATGGGAACCAGTATTGCAGATTCCATCGTGAAAGGTTATGATGAAAAGAAGGAATAATAAATGAAAGTGCTAGGCATAAAACAGATGCTAAATAAGTGGCAGCTATTTGTGATTCTACTTATTTGTGTGGTGGTGCTTTGCCTCTCTTTGTAGTCCAATCTGGTTCCTAGCACCTAATCTTCCTACTGCCCTGGATATCCACTTGCTGTGGCAGCTTAGCTTTGTCTGAGAGTGGGAGCACGTGTCCTGGTTAGTGTCCTGGTTAGTAGGGATTATAGAATCCTGACTCAGAAGTTTAGGGTAATGAAATAAAGTCAGATCTGCTGCTCATCCCACTCTAACCTTCTCCTGTGTTAGTGGCTAGCTCTGGGTGGTTCCTAAGTCTGAGCATTCTTGACCTCCAGCACTAGAGCCAGACTGCTCTTGCCAATCACTACTGCCCTTTCCCTTGCTCTGATGGTGGCCCCGGGCAGCTAGTTGTCCCAGAATTGGTCTGTGTCGTTCCCTGAATGGCGCCCCTCTCGCAAATACATCTAAGTCTTAATCTCCAGAACCTGTGATTATGACCTTATTTGGAAAAAGGTCATAAAATAAGTTAAGAATATCTAGATAAAAATCATTCTGGATTATCTATATGCAATAAAAAGATAAAGTATATTGGATGAAAAAGGCAGGTTATTTCAAAGGTCTGCATTTTCCTTGCCTTTTTTATTTATTTAAATTTTTATTAGAGAGAGGGAGAGAGAAACATTAATTCATTGTCCCACCTATTTGTGCATTCATCGGTTAGGTTTTTTTTTAAATACTTAAAAATATATGTTTATTGATTTTGGAAAGAGAGACACGTGAGAAAGAAACATTGATTGATTGTCTCCCATACGTGCCCCAACAGGGGATTGAACCTGCAACCTAGGTATGTGCCCTGACTGAGAACTGAACTCCCAATTGCTGGTGCACGGGATGATGCTCCAACCAACTAAGCCACCCCTGGGCTGATTCTGGGCCGGTTCTTTGTTTTTTCTTAATTTTATTTATTGATTTTTTAAAGAGAGGCAGGGAGAGAGAGAGAAACATTGATTTTTCATTCCACTTATTTATGTATTCATTGGTCGATTCTTTTATATGCCCTGACCAGGAATCAAACCCATACCCTTGGCGTATTGAGACAACACTCTAATCAATTGAGCCATCCGGCTGGGGCCTTTTTAAATTTTTTTGCCTTTATGAAGGCATCTTAATTGTAAAAAAAAATAAAGACCCAGAAAACCAAACAAAAGGAATGTATGGATGAATGAATTATAAGGTGAACACCCTTGTAACTACCCTGGTCAAGAATAAAACTTGCTCCGTACCCCTTTTATATGCCCCCATCATCACCACGACCCCTCCCTCCCCCCACAAGTAACCATCAGCCTGATATTTCTAGTCTTCACTTTTCTGGGGGTTTGTTGGTTTTTTGGTGTTTTTTTTAGTTTCCTCATCCAGATATACATCTCCAAGAACTTGCCCATTTAGAAAATGTTGATACTTCTTTTAAGTTTCTTAATCTATAGTTCCTCGTCCGTCCTTTTCACTTACTTTTGAATTTATCATGAAGAATGTAGTGAGTTGAATGATGGCCCCTCCCGACATATATGTCCACTGGAAACCGACTTTGACTTTATTTAGGAAAGGGGTCTTTGCAGAATAATTAAGGTAAGGATCTCAAAGTAAAATTATTCTGGATTAGAGCAGGCCCTAAATCCAATGTCAGTTATTTTATAAGGGAAGAGGAGAGGAGAAACATAAAGGAGCTCATGTGAAAGCAGAAGCAGAGCCAGAAGTGGTGTGTCTACAAACCAAGGGGCACGAAGGGTTGCTTGCAGCCACCAGAAACTAGGAGAAAAACAGCATAGAATTTCCATGAGAGCCTCCGGAAGGAACCAGCCCTGCTGACATCTCAGTTTCGGACTTCTGACTTCCAAACTGCGAGAGCCACCTAGTTTGCAGTCATTTGTTACAGCAGCTCCAGAGAACTCATTTCAAGAATCCGGACCATTTGACCTCACGGCCTGAATTTGGCAGACTGCACACTCTTGGTTCAGTTGACCGTTTTGCTCTATCCTCCGTATTTCCTGCACATTTGCAGCTGGATCCTGTCTGCATCAGACTGGAGTTTTATTCCTCTGACACATCTGAGGCATGTAATGTTTGCTTGTCACTTTTCTGGGATCTGAGCA